CTCATCTACAATTTGCCCTTAGTATTTTGTCTGGCCCGACGGATAATGGTTTGTCTTGAACAGCGGCTTATTCTTTGCAAATCATTTTAAATCAAGCGTTCAAAAGGTTCTACGATGTCACATAGCGAATGATTGGCGCATCGACAGTTAGGAATTAACAACCCAAGAACATTACCCTTTATTTAGGAAGTTAATACAATGAAGAAGTACGGTTGTACAATAAAGAAGCCCGTTTAGACATTTTTTTCCCCATTTTTTTTTTCCAATTCTACCACTATTTCCTCCTTGTTACCAATGCAGAAGCTCAGAGAAAGTTGCAAATTGAAAGCGTCCACAAAAGTATCTCTGAAAAACAACACCGACCATATCCTTTTTTTTGAATATTTTGAAAAAATATTTGTAAGCAGTGATTACATAAAGAAAACAAAGGGTGCAGAATTCTCTATTAAAAATTTAATAAAGAAACACATATACTGACATAGCTGCAAATACATCCGCAGAAAAGAATGTAACTTAACGAGTTTAGGTAATGATTCTAGCTTTGCTTCATTCTAAGTATCGCATGTGAAGTATTTGACACGTTCTTAACTCAAACCACCCAAGCCTTCGCAGAATTACCAATAACGAGGGACTTGCCTAATTGTAGCGCCATTCGTAAAGATCAGAGTGTTAATCTGAGGCAAACATTCCGACTAATGAACGAGCTCCTCAGGCGAATTTCGTGCCTCATTTGGTAGTCGCGACTTAAAGGCGAGTGTCGTCATCAAAAAGTACGCTCAGTCATGGTGATAGTGGTAGGAATGAACGAGCCAACCAAGTGTTATCACGAGAGGCGTGGTCTTTTTTCAACGTCGGTGGGCCTCGAGGCTACCATCGAGTCAAGTCACCTCCATAGCGTTACCGAAGGAGACCTTGGAAATCATTCAGTGCATTCGTTCGCTAGGAGTAGAATTGTGTGTTGTTCAGCTGGTTTCCTACTTTCATCATGTTTTCTCAATTAGGAGAGTAATTAATGATAGACAGTCAACTAAATGATCTACACTTGACCTTTTATCTTGAGGGAGCCCAAGAAGTTTCTCGTGCACTATTTCAATCACCTTTTCCAATACGATCATTTTACATTGTTCTGGATCTTTGCTGAGCATCTATTTTGTTTACAGATTCCATGAAATTTTTGTGGCCATACCATACTCTCTTAGTACTTATTTGCACCATCTCTTCTCCAGAATTACAGGTTTGTGAACCTTATATCCAAAGAATTTATCCCCTTATCTCTTTTCTTTGGTCTTCTCTACAAACTTTTTCATCTTTGTTTTTAAAAGGAGGAAAGAATAAATAAGCAAGGAATTGGGTAATGTAATTTTGTGCATCATGTTGTCGTTTTGTGTTCTCACATAAATCTCCCTTGAAACAACACATCGTTTGGAAACCAGACGCCTGTTGCGACTCCCTATCGGACATTTCACTCTTATCACAAGTCTGGACAACTGCCAGATGCTGTTTCGCCATAACATAGTTTACACTTTATCATATATGGCCTACTGTATAATGTTCAAAGTTATTTAGAGCAACAACGTCATCCAGTACTATAAACGCCTATATTTTGCATGCAAGAGGTAATAAATCAGTTAATATAAGGACCAAACTTAATGGATTTTTTGTTCACTTTAACAAAGCAGAAAATTCACTGCTGTTTATCTAGCAATTTCTCTTTTCAGACGTTGAAACTTAGCATTTTTACGCATTTCTGTCACAAAAAGCATCAGACTTCCGTGTTTTCCATAGGAGACCTAAGGTATGCTAAGTATGTTAACGATGGAGGTGGCCTCTTTTTCGCTGTTTCCTACGTTGATTTCCGGTAAGCCAGCCACGGAGATGGTTGTACACGTCTAAGGTGGTGTCATTAATCTTGATTGCAATTGCGATTCTTACTCACGCTTGCTAAAGGATCTGCCGTCCACTCGTTAAATGTCTCAATTTGTCATCTTGGGCCCAACATATCGAACTCGCGCATACCATTTGATAAGTTAGCGTTGGATGGACTGGATGCTATAAGTGGTTCGCATGATCGAGTCAAAAACGATGTATTCTTATCATTGAAAAGATTCTATTTTCGAGTGTGTTCACAGTCTCTGCATAAAATTTTTAATTCAGCACTCTTTAACGTAGATGAAATCAAGCTACGCAGACGTAAAATTCCACAAATCTACGGCTGTGTCGTTTGAACAGGCTTTTTCCTAAAATACCAGTTCGTATCCCCACTTTCTTTCCTGTGCTTTATCAGCTGAAAGGGAGAATATGTCAAGTGTGGACACTTCGCAGTCTTAACTTCTTCAGCTCGCTGTACAGAGTTTAAGTTCAATTTTTGCTTTCAATTTACCATTTTCGAGGTTCTTCTAAATTTTAAAATTCCCCCTACTAATCCTCTCTTACTTTTGATCTTTAATTCCATTTTATTGAAAAACTACCGTTCACTCTCAAAAAATGTTTACTTTTTTCGCATCCACACAGGTACGCATTCCAGTGAAGTGCCATA